TTAAAGGTAGGAAGCAGACTCAGTGTACGTAAGGATAACTGACCTAGGATATAATCACCCATACAAGCAAGGCAACAAGCTCACATCTCCAGCAAGTATATGGGCCTCAGACATTTCACATTAAATGTGAAATCTCTGTGTAAAGTCGTACATTTCCTGTCGCCTGACAGTGACTCTCACCAGTCTTGTATTTGGGTGTCATTTTCAACTCACTCTAAAAAGTTTCCCTCCACCTAGGTACCTGCCGAACTGATGACAGTGCTTATATGTGGCAAGGGGAGAAAGGACTAGAACTGAGAGTGAACCTTACAGGGGGTTTTAGTCCATTAATGGTCTAATTGTTTATAAGGCAGATGAATAAAAATAGTTACTGTTTCTATATTACATGTTTTAAAATTCAAAACTCTGCCTCTTTCCTCTGCTCTAGGTCATCCACTTCCTGTGCTCTGGTGTTACTGTGACTTCTCTTTTTCCCTAATTCAGCTTTCCCAGTGGTTTCTGTGTTACTATACACAGGTGTATCCTTAAAATCCTGCACCCAGGGCCGGCCGAGTGGCTCAGTTGGTTAAGAGCTCGCTCAAGAGTTTGAGCTCTGAGCAACAGCAGTTTGAGTCCAGCCCGAGGTGAGCAGCCGCTGAGCTGCCAATAGGTAGCAGGATGGCTCAGCTAAAAAAAAAAAAAAAATCCTGCACCCTCTTCTAGTCCCATTTTGAGGTAATGTTTCATTGTACTTCCTTTGGATCAAGAGAATGTATAAATAAATATATTTAGTTATATATAATTTGGACTGTGCTCTTGTAATTAAATATATTGAACTTATTTGTTTTTGACTTCTCAGCCTGCCTCAGCCTAATAAGTGATTCCATACATATGGTTAGTATTTCAGAGTCCACAAGGCACTTTTATTTTTCCTCTCAATCCTCCCCCTCTAGCCCGCCCTGGCTTCCTTGCTGCTCCCTTTTTTCTTATAATATAGCAAATGGCTCCTTCCTGGTGAGCCTCTACCTAGAGCAGAGTGGAAGTATTATCTCGATCATGTTCAGACGCTCAATTCCCTCTTTCCCCATTACACAGCCTCTAGGGTGATACGATATCTGCAGGGAAAAAATAGTAAAGGGAAAATAAGCCTCCATTATATGATGGCATCATCTATCCGTAAGACGGGATTGCTTATGACAAGGACAAGAGTCTGAAATAGTATTTTAACAATCATTTTCTATTTAAGAAATAAATGATTGACGATAGGAGTAGATGAAATATATTATCTGCTGAGAAGCTGTTTATAGAGTGACAAAAACCTATGTGTAGATTTCTGACAGGAGAAGAACAGGAAAGAGTATTTACAATAGCTTTCTAGTTTGTCTTCTTTTTATCTCTTTTCTCCCTTGAATCCATCTGTCATTATCAAGATATTTATAAAATACAGATTTGTTTTAAAAATATGATTGCTCTGATTGAGAACCTTTGCTAGATCACTATTATCTACCAAAGCAAGACTGAATTCTTTAGCCTGATGTACAAATTCTTTTAAAATATGTTCCATTCTTCCTTTCCAAGTCCATCTGTAGCCTCTGTACCAAGGACTCTACGTTCCAATCATGCAAAGTGATGAAGTAACAAACAGTCCCTGAACTTGCCAGATGCTACCACTCCTCTATAACAGGAGGTAGTCCTGTGCCTGCTGACAAAAAAAGAATGTCTTATGGCCACCTCTTCATGTGTTGAATTCCTGCTCATCTTTCAGTGTCCAGTTCAAATGCCCTTCCTCTGTGAAGAACTCTCTAGGCATGATTAATTGATCCCTCCCTTCTGTATCCTTGAGCCTTTGGCTCAGAGAAATATAGGCCTTATCAAAATAAGCTTTGATTTATTGTGTATAGGCCTTTTTTCTTTTATAGCCCATGAAATCCTTGAAGGGCAAGACCATAAGGTGTCACTCTTGTAAACTCAGTGCCTAACATTAAACATTCAATGTTCATGTTATCAATGAATGAATAATTCATTCATAGGATGACCATTCTGCAATGCTGGGAGAAAGAACTGCTCTTATCACTATTATGAAAGCCCTTGAAAGGACATGGCTACCTCTTAGTCACAGAAGGGACTCTGAGAGATCACTAGTATAACTTCTTTCTGATTTCCCAGTTCAGGGCTATTGAATTTTCAGAGAATTGCTCCAATCTACCTACCTCCTTGGAAGACTTATTATTTGGTATTGATAATGACTACTAAATTGCACATCAACTTTTTTTTTGTGAGAAATCCTTACTTTGTTATATCATTTTTTCCTCAATTCTCTTTCAATGTTGCTACGAATTGGTCAGCAATTAATGAACACAAATAGGCAACCCTATTTGGCACATGGTATTAAATTCAGGATTCCATTTTTCCCTCATAGTCTTGGAGATCTGGAGGGATGAAAGAAATACAGGAAGAGGACAAACAAGGACATATGAATTAGAGAAAGGGAAAGTGCATATGGCACCATTAGAAGGGAAGTGTCATGGATAAGTTTCAGCTAACAGCACTAAGGAAAATAAAATACATAAAAACAAAACAAGAGGATCCCTATAGGGAACATGGAGTAGTGTAGTGATTTTCACTTTTTTTTTTTCCTTCTAGGAATGAATGGGAATCTTCCTCATAAGACTGTGGTAGAGATAGTGAGTTGTCTAATGCAATACTCATTCTTCGTAACAGAACTCTGAATTCATTTGGGGCAGCAACATGTCCAGTCAAAGGACACACTGCCCACCTCTGTGGCAGTGGGGAGGCTGTAACTAAGTACTAGCCAACAAGATATAAGTGGAAGTGACATGTGGGGCTTCAGCAAATCCATTTAACAGTGAAAAGGTACATTCTTTTTAGCATTTTCTCCTTCCTGTTGTGCAGAATGCAGATGTAATGACTGATTTCAAGCAGCCATTTTGGACCACAAGGAAGCATACTAAGAAATGGTAGAGCAAGACAGGAAAAACCTAGGTCCCTGGCATTGAAGTCCATCACACCTGCTGAGCCATAGCTGCAGAACCCACCCAGGTTGCCTATCTCTCGGCTTCTAACATGAGAAGATCAACTTCAAATCTTGTTTAAGCCATAGTTATTTTGAGTGTCCTGAATTTACTCCTAATTGATAAACTATTCTTGTCCTCAAGGAGCCTAAGATCCAGAACAAGAATATTTGGCACAATGTAAAGAACTAATAGAAAGAGAGGTACGCTTAATTCTGTGTAATTCTTGGATTCATGAACAATTGAGCTGAACAATTTTAGATTTACCAGGGAAACTAGTTAAAAGTAAAATTATAAAATGTTTGTGAAGCTAGAAACCTGAAGAAAGGTGATGAAGAATACATGTGGTTACTAATATTGATTACAGATATTTCAATTTTTCTTCTTAGAATAACTAAGCAATACTTTTCAAGGTTTAAAAAGTTAAAATAGAAACCATTTTAAGCTAAAAGCAATAACTGATAAATATTTCTATGAAGGAAAGCTATATCGATTTATCTATATTGCTTTTTTAAAGATGGAATTCTATAATTCTGTTTTTAGGCCCGTGGGTACCTAGATTCTCATCCCTGATTCACTCACAACTAGGTGTGGAATCTTGGGAGGTCACACTCTTAGTAAAATGAGAATGTTAGTAAATAAAGTTTAAAGTTTCCTCAAGCACTAAAATTCTGTGAATTTAATCATTCATTTGCTTCAGTAAATATCACAGTGCACTTTCTCCAGTCTGATTTCTATGAATTCAAAAGCTATTAAAATGATTTAGTGATGTAGTTCTTGAGTGTCTACTCTGAGAAAGGTTGACTAACGAATATAAATGCCATGGAAAAATAAGACTAGTAACTCCAAATACCACCTTTCTCCTATGTTTCCATAATGGCTTTTCTCTACACATAACATGGTATTTCTTAAAATGCTATACTTTTTTAGTTTACATGTCTGTTCAACCCCTATAAACTGTGAGTCCCTTGGGTGGGGGTGGAAGCAACAAAATTGTCTCCCGGGTGCCAAGCACTGGCTTGAGTATACAGTAGGAAATTTTGCTGAAGATGCGAGTGAGTGAAGGAAGATTTGTGTCAAAAGATGATGATCCTAAGAGAAAATGATGGCTAATCTTGAGATTGATAACGTGAAATTTTGTCTCTTTTCTTTGTAGTACAGATTAGAGATTTTAATTGATTTGTGACATATTCATTAGCCACAAAAACTTTAGGACTTCTTGATCATTTTTGCAAAGTTTATTGGCTTTTAAGTTGTTGCCAGATTAATTCAGCCATCAAGAAAAAAAAGGGTAAATTTCATAAAGGCATGGAGCCAAAGCTATTGTTGCCTCTCATTTGTAGACTGTACACGGGGTGCCTTCAGCCCATCCTGGGAGACTGGGCAAGAACATGTGAGGATTGCTGCACAGTCTCTCTCCAGAGACTGGGAGAATCTGGTGGGGAGATGCTACTGGATACCGTTGTCTTAGTGAGGCTAGGCCAGTGCCACCAATGAGAACTGGGGACTACCCCATTCTCATTGTTGTCCCATGTACCACCTGAATTAATGACGCATACTATCCTCACAAACCGTCCCAAGTAAAAGCAAATAAGGAAGGTGACAAAGGGCTCATGGCTTTAATTCCAATTACAAACAAAGATGTTTCCCTACCCTTTACCCTAGTTAGTGTCTTTGTACTCCTGAGAGGGTCCAGGTGTAGCTACTGCCCCAAGAGCAGGTACAGAGCACATAGTCCCTCCTCGCTGGGGTCCCCTCTCCCCCTGCTGTTCTAACAGGGGTGACTTAAAACCAACATCATGGAACCCCTCATGCAGAACAAGAGGTGGTCTGAGTATCAGTTATATATGCCTTCCTTGTAGAGATTTGCCTTCAATCGTAAGTGTTTTAAATAGGGATATTAGGAGTTTTAAAAAATCAGATTATTCAATAAAAATAGATTGCAAATAACAATAAATAGAAGTAAAATATCAGTACTAAAGAGCATACCGCAATACCCTGGGGTTCCACATACTGTCTTCATGAGCACTTGATGTTCCACAATTTTAGAGAGTCCAAAATCAGCTAGCAACACAAGAAAAAAATATTAATGAAGCAAGTCTTTTCTCAGCTTTTATAAGGTGACAGAATACTTGTGTTATTCAAAATAAAACTAACTTATTTATTTGCTTGTTTTGGTATCCGATGGTGGCGTGGACATAGATCAGGACCAGTTGCCAGGGAGAGAAAACTAAAAAAAGTAATAATAATAATTTAAGCCTTGTTTTCAACCAGAGAAAAATATGACCCCCAAACACACTGTATACTTATCTCTGTAATTCCCAGCTTTTAGCAAATAAGTTATTTCATTTTGAAGTAATTAATAGTGTCAATAGGTCTATTTTGTCTAATATTAAATCTGAGATTTATGAACCAGTAACTCCAAAGTGCCATATAGAATTAGTGATATAATTCAGAACATTGGAATAAATCCAAATAAAAAATTGGGCTTTCCTAAATGTCAAGGAAATGAACAACATAGACACCAAAAGGTTTCTTCTATTTCAAATAAATAATGTCATTCCCTAGCGTACTTGGAGGATAAGAATTTACTCTCCTTTGAGGAATATGGCTTTTAAAAAAAAATCATTTTTATTTATTCCTCAGAATAATACCTAGCTAAAACATTATCAAAAGCTGCTACCCTTATGGTCTATTTGCTGGGTGACATCTGTCTCACTCAGGAAACATCAGGAAAGCTTTCAAGGCCATTCTTCAAGAGAGGCAGGTGCGGAATCCATGCCATTTTGAACTTCAAAGACAAGCCCACATTTCCACGGGGGTGCCGATCCTTATCAGAGGAAGCAGCAGGCAGTCCTCCAGAAAGAAAGGCTCTCCTGCCTAACTTGGTGTCTATCCGTCCACTTAAAGACATTTCTTTAGGGATAAAAATCTTTCAAAGAGACGTCAAAGGAAAGGGAGCCTCCCTGCTGCCCACCGCCTTTCGGGAGTGATAACCAGAACAAGCAGCCGCCCTGCGAGACTTCAGTATTTTTTTTTCTGTAGGTTTTTGCATTCATAACGCACATTATGTTATCTGAGCTCTTCCATGATATGTATAACCTAAGTTTGAAAGGTGTTAACACGTATAAATGCACTGAATTTATCAGATTAGCATTGTAAAGGACACAGCACCAAGGCAGCAATGTCCATCAGAGGGTTTTAATACAAATTCTACTAAAGAGACTCCATCTAAAACAAATTTTGCTATTTTTTTTATCAAATGAAGATTTTTCTTTGGAAGGCACATACAAAGTAATGTTTAATATACTTCCTTTTAAAATGCTGATTTAAAGATCTCTTTGGATAGATTGGAATTTCCTAAAGTTCATCTTTGTAGTTCTTAAAAATGCTTAATGGAAAAAAAAAAATCAAGGTTTCCAGAGTCAAATAAAGTTTGGGAAAAGACTCACAGTACACTCTATGTCAGTTTACACACTAGCATTTTTAAGGTTCTGGGGAGTCCTGCAGAAATTAAAATCTTGTTTAACTTTAAGTTGGCATTTTCTAACTTACTTGACCAACCTTAGCACCTCCACAAACCACTCCCACCTCCCCCTACATGGAATTATTCACCCTTGTTCACTCAGCTGAGGAACCAGCTTTTCTAGGAAATACAGATCTCAATTTATCTCTGTTTACATAAACAAGTAACCCAGACGCTAAATTCACTGAAAGATACTAAACATTTTGTGTCAAAGTTCTTGATTATCTAAAATTAAGTTCCATCTAATAAAAGGGAGACAGTGTGGAATACAAGTTAATAATCAAAAAAGAAGTGTTATATTATCTGTGGTTTTCTTCCATATACACTTATCTATAAAATATAAGGTCACCTGCTGAAGTCCCTGTCATTTCCAACAGCTGTGATTCCTTTATGATGTCCAGCAATGGTGTGTCAACTCTAGGCACTAATTCCAGATTAATATTCCAGGAAAGAGCACGGACTTCCAAAACAATGCATTATTCCTTTATAAATACCAAATATTCAAGGAAATTGAATGGAGGTGAAACTGGATGGCGCAGTATTTTAAAATTCCATAGAATACATTTCTTCTTCCCCGGGCAAAGGGGTCATAAGATATCAGGAAATGTCCTCACCAATTTTGAGTGGTGCATCAGGGGCTGGAGTTGCATAGAGAAGATTCTCTGGTTTGAGATCACGGTGGACAATCCCATTTTCATGTAGGTACTAAACAGGGAATATAATGAAGTGAGATTCATGTAATTATATTCATCTTTGCAACATTTATATTTACTAGTTTCGGAATTATAATAAGCTTTAAGCTATGTGATTCAACAATATACACACATTATGATTTAAAAATAAACACCAAAAGGAAAACATGTTTTAAACTATACACCATTCTAGAATATCTTATATATAATTACCTAAAAGTGAAATGCAATTGAAATTATGTAAAACCAATTGCCAAAAATAAAGTATTTACCCCTCGGAGGATACTAGGTAGTTCTCTTCATACATATTACCATATCAGCTGAAATTGGCTAATTATTATTATAATAAAGTCAAGGTGATGTGTATTAAAATTTGCCTGGTTTATCTGAAAAACATAATTGTATGTGTCCTCTTAGAAATTTACAGCCATGGCAAAGACTTCATAATTATTGTTTGAGACATTTAAATGTGAGTGATTATTATAGAGAACACATCCAACTTGTGTAGCTCTCTCTCCTCAGTGCCTGAGGAATTCACCCTCCATCCCTACCTACTGCTCTTGCCTGCAGCCAGGCCACATACACATTTTCACTCTTAATTACTCTGATGACTAGCTTAATTGTCAGCTCTTCTCCAACCCGTACTCCACACTTCCATTTTTTTTTTTTAGCAAAATCATATATACATTCAAATTTTTGCTAAAACAGATTGCAACGAGCTTATCTCACACACTTCCGTTTTTCAAAGTGCAGATCTAGTTAAGTCACTCCCTGCTTAAAAAGTTCAGCATCTTTCCCTTGCTCTTAGCAAGAGTG